CATATATATATACACATATATATATACATATATATATATATATATGATGTATTTGTATATTTAGTACTTTCAAAAAAATCTCAATCTTTAATTATTGCTCAGCTGTTTCCATCCGAGCATCCATATTAAATATTAAATATAGCAGTTTATTTCACCAGGTCCGAGATAAAACGACAACAGACAAAATTGGTGTGCATTTGGTTTATATGGTCATTGTCAGGGGTACCAGAAATACAACTGAATACCAAGATTTAAAAAACAAACAAAACAAAACTGCAAATAAAACTTGCACTTCAGATATACAACTTAAAATAAATCTACCCATCTACATTCATTTAGGTACAATAATAAAAGCAAATCAAGGTAACAACAGCATATTAGACTTAGCTGATAACAGAATACACGGTAGTCCTATTTCTCGTCCGACCAGCGAGTGCTGGACTGCACATGCTAGTTAGAAACCATCTAGAAGAGCAAACGTTCATTTATAATCAGAAATGTTTGAAATGAGCTTGACTAAGCATATTATTATTATTAATGGATACACAACTGCATACAAGGGGAAATCAATTCGAAATGTAACAGTATCAGTGGCATTTTCATTGTATTAGAGCTTTGTAAGAACCGTGAAAAACGGTTTCTTAATAAACATCAGAATGAATGTCAGGCCGAATGATAAAAACACAAAGGAGATATGATAAAATGAAAGTAAAAGTGCATCTGATACTTCAGTTCTGAGAGCGCTAGGCTGCCAGCATGACGTCTATATAGTTTTAAAAGGAAGAAAGAGAGGAGATGAGGGTCGTTTGCTTTTGGCTCTATTCTCCATACACACTCTCGTCACTGTAGGCGATGTAAAGGAAGAAATCTTCTTCGTGATGTTCCTGTGTGTGAGAAAGTGTAATTATAAGAGGAACAAACTGATACTGATGTGGACAAATCAATCAGAGTGAAAGAAGAGCGAGAGATACCTGGTACAGCTGGCCCATGGTGGCGGAGGTCGGGGGAATGACGTTGTTTACGAAGAAGAAGAGAGCATCCTCGGCTCTCAGGTGGATTCGCTTTCGGATGAGAAAGTAAAACTGGCCCACTAAAACAAAAATTAGCAGATGCTTTTATCCAAAGCGACTTACAAATGAGGACAATGGAAGCAATCAGAATCAACAAAAGAGCAATGATACACAAGTGCTATAACAAGTCTCAGTTAGCTTAACGCAGTACACGTAGCAAGGCTTTTTTTTTAATTATATAATAAATAAAAAGAAAACCGATAGAATACAATATCAATATTAGTTGATAAATAGAGTGCGAGTCTAAAAGGGGCAAGTAAAGGATAGAATTAGAATAGAGCGTGCTAGAGTTAGAGGGTCAAAATACAATTATAATAATAATATCTTCTGATGCAATCGGCTTCATTTTAAAAGAACATCATAAAAAAAATAAATAAATAAAAATCTTTCGAAACATAAAAGCACTTACCCGTCAGGTCAGAGGGGACCAGGTATTTCTTCTTGTCTAGGTCACCTATTCTGGCTTTAGGAGCTTTTTCCACAATTACCTAATACAGAATCAAACAAACACTTGTAAGTGGAGAAAATGTAGCGTACAGTTAAAGAAACAGTTCACCCAAGAGTGAAAATCAGCTGTACTCATCTTCAGGTCATGAGTTTGTTTCTTCATCAGATTTGGAGAAATGTAGCATTGCATCACTTGCTCTCTGCAGTGAATGGGTGCCGTCAGAATGAGAGTCCAAACAGCTGATAAAAACATCACAATAATCCACACCGCTCCAGTCCATCAGTTATTGCCTTGTGAACAGCTGCGTTTTTGTAAGAAACAAATCCATCATTAAGATTTTTAACTTCAAACCGTTGCTTCCGGCTAAAATACGAGTCCTCTACCTATAACATACAAGCAACAACAGTACAGTTCTGAACAGATATGTTGGTGGATTTTGATATGAGAGTATAACAGGATGGACTTTTTGACTAGAGGAAGCAATATTCTGGATTATGGACTCATATTTTGACCAGAAGTTAAAATATCTTGATGAATTTGTTTCTTACAAACAAGCAGCTTTTCACTTCATAAGACGTTTACTGATGGACTGGAGTGGTGTGGATTATTGTGATGTGTTTATCATCTGTTTGGACTCTCATTCTGACGGCACCCATTCACTGCAGAGGATCCATTGGCGAGCAAGTGATGCAATGCTACATTTCTCCAAATCTGTTCAGATGAAGAAACAAACTCTTCTACATCTTGGATGGCCTGAGGGTGAAATTTGCAGCTAATTTTCTTTCTTGGGTAAACTATTCCTTTAATCCAGCGTTAGATGAAATCAATCGATTTTACTCATTCCTTTCACTTTTCAAGCCCACTATGTGTGATTTTTTTGACTCAGAGTAAAGACTAAGAGGATCTGAGAAAAGCTGTGCTATTTTTGATAATTAGGCTGCAGATGAGGAACAAGAAATCTATATGAACCACTTCAGACCCATGACTATTTAAAACTACTATGTTGCTTCCCGTATGTAAAACATCCATTAGAGGGTCAGAAACTAACAAGGACTTGGGGGAAATGCCACCAAAAGTATAAAATATCTCAGAAAATTGCCCCGCAGTGAATTCTTCAATTCATATTTTAGAGTGTTTAATTTTTGTTAATTGATTCAGCTGAATCATACGGTTTTATATGGTATCAAACATATTAATAATCTTTTGGTAGTAACAGGTCCAAAAAATACTTGAAATTATGGCAATATTTAATAGACTGCTTGTTTTGTTGTTCTTCTGGTTTGGTTATGTATATGGTAAACGAAGCCAGCCTCCTGGATGTAAACATGTTGACTGAAGGACATCGAGGCTACTTTAGGAATCACCACTTCCACATGGTCCTAAATGTATTATTTTACCCCACAAATGCAATTTAAATAAAACAACAAACACATAATGCACCGCATTACACTACAGGAGTTCAATCTGTCCATAAGGCCTTGAGGATTAAAGCAGATCAGACAATACAAACCACAAGCCACCTTAACAAATATTTACCTGTTCGCCTCTCAAAGCAGATTCGATCTGAAGAGTGATTTCAAATGCGCTATTAGTAAGCATAACACGAACAGACATTTTATTTAAATAATAATAAAGAAGCTGAGAGATCAACAAGGCCCACCGCAGTTTCGCCCTTCATCTGCTACAAAAGCTAAACCGGTTTACGTTCGTGTAAAAGACGAATAAACACAAGATGAGTTTGTTTTTATGACGGACGACTCGGTTAAATCGTGTAGCTCGTCTGTTGTGGTTCACCGTAATGCTAACGCTAGCTTCTGTTTATACATCAAACCGACTTACAGGAACCCTGTCTGGATATTTCTTCCTGATTTTCTCTCCCTCCGATCGCCTCTTCTCAAAAGGATGCTCTTCTTTGTACTGAAACTTCATGGTTGTTAAAGGAAGAGTAAACTAGTCTCACAAACACACACAGAGGTGTCAGAGACGTTACCAAGCGCTTCACACACAGCTGCTGCGCCTTCCCTTCTGCGCATTGATACGGACGCACTATATTTACATTATTTTTGTCAACTCAATACTGAATTTTCCCGAAAATCACACATCCAGAAAAACTATTTGATACAAGGCTTATTAAAGATGCTCGACGGTTACTAAAGACGTTTCTGATATCGCGTTATGTTGTGTTTGTAAGCTAGGGACTACTTTTTCCGCTCACGCAGTTTTACGAGCGGTGCTCCGGTCAGTCATATGACCGTCTGCCCTCACTTCCGGTATCCGAAGTGACGCACAGGTGCTTTAAAAATGTTACTTGAAATTAAATAAATGTTAACTGGAATGATGAAATAAAACTTAAAAGAAAATATAAAAATAAAAGAAAACAAATTTAATTAATACTCAAATAAACACTGGAGCAAATGTGACAAAGGTTATGTACACTATGCATAAATTTGTATATTTTTGTATACTATTGTATACTTTGTTCTAATAAAAAATGACTAATCGTTTCGCTCATAACGTGAGGAAACAGAACATATTCTTTAAAAATAATTTTATAGATAGATAGATAGATAGATCTATATAAACACAT